GTTAACGGAGAGGGGGAGAAATAGCCACTTTAGAAACAATTGAGGGGAATAAAGTGGCTACATAAATAACACAGGGGGGAAATGTGCTATAAATAAACAACATAGGGGGAAAAAGTGCCATTTTCCCTAATAATAATAATAATAGTAATAGTAATAGTAATAGTAATAGTAATAGTAATAGTAATTTTAATAGTAATAGTAATAGTAATAATAATAATAATAATAATAATAATAATAATAATAATAATAATAAGGTAAATTTGAAGGTGCGCAAGGAAAATACTTTTTCAGACATATTATTGAATAAATAAATTACAATTATAATAACAACACTAACAACAAGTCAACAACAACAACAACAACAACAACAACAACAACAACAATAATAATAATAATAATAATAATAATAATAATAATAATAATAATAATAATAATAATAAGAAGGTAAAATGGAAGGTTTAAAAAAAAAAAGGAAATGTATACACAACTGAACCAAGCGAGATTCGAACCATGGATCTCTCAACTATAAAAGACTTTACAAATGTGTTTCTACCATCTCTACAAGCAGAATGCTTTGTTATTTATTAGAATTTTTTGTTTTTTTAATGTTAACTATTTAAGTAAAAATTAAATTTTGAGCCTTCTAAAATTTTGGGGCCCTTTAAAATTTGGGGCCCTGTGCTGTTGGGCTGCTTGCACAGCCCAAAATCCGGCCCTGCAAACATGAGGTGTAAAGTCATCTTTACCCTTACTAAGATGAAAAAGTGTAAGGGAACAAGGGAACTATTCACAAAACTTTAGGTACAACACCTTGACTTGGGTTGACTAGTCAATTACTAGTCCCCGACTATTGAATTTTCAGGAATTTAAAGAATAAATCACCAATTAGATTAGGATTAATTACTTAGTTAATCCCTAAATAGAATTTAGATTTGAGGGGTGTCACATTATATCTTGAGCACCCTTGATCTAGTCAACACCATTACTAAGCTCTTCTTTTTCACCCTTCATCTTCCTTCTCCAAACCAAAACATAGCAACAACTTCACCATTTCCACTCACAAGCACACAAACAAATCCACATAAATACATCATCTTAACAATTTAAACTAGAGAATGGAATGGAAGAAGAGAGGAGGAAGCTTACCAAATCTTGGACCTAGGTTTTTGTAAGCTTCAAAGATGAAGGAGGAAAATATATCAAAGGGAGAGAGAGATTCACGAGAGAGATGAGAGATGAGTGCTGCTGATTTCTTTAGAGTGAATAGTGCAACAAGGGGAAAATGTTATCTCTTATAGTTAGGGTTTTGGGGGTAGAAATGTAAAATAAAATTGTAGGGTTCACCTTGCATCATGAACCATAGTCTAAAAATGTGATTTTAAATAGTTTGAGGTCAAAATAGATTTTTCCAAAGATGATTTCTAAACAAACACTTGGTTTAGGTTTCTCCATGTCTCACTCAGATTGGTTTCTCAGTTTAAAACTTGGTACGCGAAGTACCCGAAAATTTAGGATTTTGGATTTAAAATAAATCCTGGAGTTAAATTTACTTAAAAGTGGCTCAAAATAATTTATTCAACACCGATTTCATCGCAAAAATTTTACGGAGTGAAAAATGGCTATTTCGGAATTTCTTAAAATTGGATTTATGAAATTAAAATTTGGGTTGTTACAACCTTGGTCATGCGTGACTGTTGGCAACTGAATCGTAGCCCAAATCGCTCGTGCATGGAGACAGTCCCGGAAAAAGTGAGCGTTCGACTCATCTACACCTCCACACATATGGCAATGTACCATACAGGCTACCCGTTTAGTAGATACGGCCTCTCTCGTTGGAAGAACCGATGTCACAAATTGCCAAGCAAACACCCTTACTTTGGCGAGACCTGCAAATACCAAATGAGATTCCATGGTCGATCAAACTGTTCCTCCCCCACAAGCAACCTATAACATGACTTCACAGTATAGGATCCCTTCGAATCCCCCTTCTATACCCAAGCATCCTTAGGGCGTCAAACACTTACCGGTATATTGAGGATACAGTTGGCATCTCTCACGTTAAACATATCAATAACACACTCACGGTCCCATCCAGTCCCAGCGTCATTCATGAGCGAGCTTACCGGAGCCTTTCTAATGGTTTCATGTAATTGTGTTGTAACATACGGATCCTCCGCCATGACCAACCACGGTTCTAACCCAATCATGGTAGATCTCCTGTCACCAATGCTTCGTCGGTACCACTGCTTCACTGCGTTGTTGGCCTCCACTATACTTCGCCAAATATATGATGGATTATGCCCGACTTCCGCCTCCATAAAGCTAGAATTCGGGTAGTACCTATTCTTGTAAACTCGTGCAACCAGTGAGTCCGGCCTCGTTAGCAGACACCAAGCCTGCTTGCCCAAGAGTGCGAGGTTCATCTCCCTGAGAGTCCTGAACCCCAACCCGCCTTTAGACTTTGGTACACATAGTGCTCTCCATGCCTTCCACCGTATCCCTGTATTACCCGCCACCTTCCTCGTCCACCAATATTGATTTAGAATAACCCCAATCTCCCTGCACAAGGTTATAGGCAAAGAAAAAACCATCATGGCATAACTAGGCAAAGCTTACAACACATTCTTTAATAACACTTCACGGGCAGCCCTAGATAAGAACCTGGAATTCCAGCTTCTGACTCGTGCTACAATACGATCCTTCACAAACCCCCAAAATTGCCTTCTTGTTCTTCCCCACTAACAAAGGCAACCTCAAGTACTTCCCTGTTGTGTCCCCTTGTCTGACACCGAGAGTGTTTATAACTGCACTTCTGCTTGCATGACTGGTATTAGTGCTGAAGCACACCAACGACTTATCATAATTTACCAGTTGGCCTGAAGCCTTCGCATATTTAACAAGTATCTCTTTCATGTTATCACTTTCCTCCGTGTCCGCCCGCATAAATAGAAAGCAATCATCCGCGAACGGTAGATGGGTGATTGGCGGTGCCCCCCTCGCTACTCGGACACCATGCAGTATTCCCCGCCTCATACGATCGTCAATGAGAGCACTTAAGCCCTCAATGACCATCAAGAATGGATATGGGGATAACGGGTCGCCTTGTCTCAGACCACGGCCTGGCACTATCGGCCCTAGCTGCCTCTACTCATGCGAAATGTGGTACTTAACACCACTCACTGTCTCCATTAGGATATTGACCCATTTGACACTAAACCCCAACCTCAACATTACCAAACGCAGAAACCGCCATTCAACTCTGCCATACACCTTACTCATGCCAATTTTTAGAGCTGCCACGCCATCACGCCCTTGCGTTTTCCTCTTTAGAAAGCGGTGTGCTTCATACGCTAGCATTATGTTGTCAGTTATCAGTCGGCCGGGCACGAACGCACTCTGGACTTTTGTAATAATCTTGTCCAGCAGCGGTTTTATCCTATTCGCACATACCTTGGCCGCGATCTTGTACAAAACGTTACACAAAGCAATCGACCATAGGTCCTTCATTGACTCCGGCACGGGTTTTTTAGGGATTAAGACAATGAACGTATCATTTTCCTTGGTCGATAGCGTTGCCGTATCCAAGAACTGACAGCAAAATCGCGTTACCTCTCCTCCTACGGTGCTCCAGAAATGCTGGAAGAACCCCAGACCAAAGCCATCCAACCCCGGGGACTTATCCGGGTGCATCGCGAATACCGCCTTACACACCTCCTCCATACTAACCAGGCACTCCAATGATGCATTATCCAATGGCATCACATGTGGACCAAGACTAGCAATTACTTCAGAGTCATCCCCCGGCTGCGACGTAAACAACCCCCAGTAATAGTCAAGCATCACCTCGACAACTTGTTCGGCCCTCACCGCCATACTGTTGTCATCCCTTTTCAGTCTCACTACCCCGTTCCGCTTCCTTCGTTCCCTAACAGAGTTATGGAAGTACTTTGTATTCAAGTCCCCGTCTTTCCACTAGTGCTCTTTTGCCCTCTACCGCCAGTACACATGCTGCTATTCCAAGAGAGTTAGCCACTCCCGTTCCACCCTGTCATAATCTGCTATACCAGCTTGATCAGTTCGTGGCTTTAGAGTCGCAAGTTGCCTCCTACACCGGTCAATCCGCAGTTGGAACTCCTTGTTATATGTTCGACCCAACGGTCGATGTCTTTGCTGCACACCTCAATTCTATGGAAAACATCATGTCCCGACGTTTTGCTCTACCACCTCCCTGAACATCTCCTCCCGTAGCCATAAGTTATCAAAGCAGAACCTCCTACGCCGGGGAGGGTGGGTAATCACAATCGGGGTCAGTAATAGGGGCATGTGGTCACTGTAAGGGCAAGGCAAAGATGACGCCCGAGCCCCCTCGAACTGCTCCATCCATGACTCAGTTACCATGATCCTATCAAGCTTTTGTTCCACTATATTCGGTGTGCCTTTAGACCGGTGCCAAGTATACTGGTACCCGTCGAAAGCTAAGTAAGTGAGACCACAATCTTGAATAGCCTCCCGGAACCCTGTCAACAGCCATTCGGGATGGGGGTGTCTTTTCCACATTTTTCACTTTGGTGTAATAGGTCATTAAAGTCACCAATTACTACCCACGACAAATTACTCACCCCAGCTAAAGTCCGTAGCAAATTCCAAGACTCCCGTCTCCGGTGTTGTTCTGGTACCCCATAGAACCCTGTTAGCTTGAACTCTGGTACACCTACATCAAGCATCACTGTGGCGTCAATATGATTCGAAGAAAACCCCGTTACATGAACCTGTACTGCCTCATCCCACAATAATGCCAGCCCGCCACCATGGCCATGCGCGTCCACCACCAGCATGTTATTAAATCCCAACTTTATTCGAATTGGTTCCATTCTATGTTTCACAAGTAGAGTCTCTATTAAAAAAAAAAACAATCTTTGGCCTCTTCTCGCGGACTAAGTCCGCTAACACTTGAACTGCCGTCGGGTTGCCAAGCCCCCAGCAATTCCAAGATATGATATTCATAATCCTTGACGGGACTGCGCTGCAAGTCCTGCCTCTGGTAAGTTTTTTGACCCTGATGCCTCACAGTCCATCCCTACCACACCAACCCCTTCTGTCCGTCTTTGCTTGGGATCGGAAACCACCACCTCAGGGACCCTAAGACCATCAGTAGCCACCTTCTCCGGAGAGCCAACGAATCCACAACGGACGCTTTCCACTTCTGCCGTTCAACAGTAGTCTTAGGCGAAATCCAACGATGCCCATTGGATGGCACCTCCCTACGATTACCGCCTCGCAACCAAGTTCCATATGACATAGGAACACTGGCCTCACAAGGCTTCTCGTACCTGGACAAAACCGTTCCTAGTGACCAATGATTCCACATAGGAAGCAGAACGTTGGATGCGCTCATACTTAAAGTCAATGATCGCCCAACCTCCATTATCCATCTTCAACTTCATCTGCTTCTTCAAGGGCTTGGCTACATCGATTGCCACTCGGACGCAAAAGAAAGACCTCATTGCGCCATCGAAATTCCGTTCATCTGCCCTAATGAAAGTGCCCATGAATGATCCGATTGCCCTGACGATCGCCTCGGATTGGAATCCACCCGAGAGCGCATGGATCTGTACCCAGAACTCCGCATGCATGAGGGGTACTAACTCGGGGTCCTGGCCAGCTGGAACCCTCCTTAGAATCAGTAAGCACTGGTCATACGAATAGGGGCCCTCAGCAATGACCCGGTCGATATCCCTCTCGAGATAGAACCGGAACAAATACCTTCGTGGACTCAACTCCTTCACATTGACCCCCATCACCGGACTCCAGACGTCCGCCATAGTGTCATGGAAGAAAGGCAGTCGTACCGGCTTGTTCGTAACCAAGCGGCCGACGACGTAGAATACTTCCTCCTCATTTTCCAGATTAACTGATGCAATGGGCAACTGTACTGAGACCTCTTCATCATCCACGTCCGCTAGTGTCAAATTCCCACACATCGTCGCAATATCAGTGGTGGCCATGATCACTGGTAGAGTCCGGCGATAATCGTCCTCAGTGCAATCAGTTTAACGGCGGTAAAACCCTATTAGGTCAAAACTCGCGAAATATTTAAATTTAGTACTATTTAATGTTTGAAATTCAAAATATACGTACAATAATTTGAAATCACAAATTTGTTGAAAATTATTATCCATCACAAGCTTAGTAGCACCAAATGTATTAGTGATTGAAACCTCACCTAATCAATAAGATAACAAAGGTTAAATTCATATGATGTTTTAAATTTTTTATTAAAAAATCGTCTAATATATTTACAAAAAATCACATGTGATGATGCAATTAGATATTTACCAGTATACATCTTTGCACGACACATCTGAATTATTAACACAACAGGTCCCGGGTCTAGGTGGTTCACAAGTGGGAGCAATAAATCAACATATTGGTCCCAAAAAGTACACCTTAAAGATTTATCCATGTATAGAATACAATAATAAAGCATACTTGTTTTAAATGTAATAAGATAGAAAAGTAGTAGAACTACAATAAGTAAAAATAGTATTTAAACATAACTTGTGATATTGAATAACAATTTCCATAAATTTTTTCTCTCGGCCATTAACTAATGTAAGTGCAGGGTGACTGCATATATACAATAAAACCAATGAAATGTATTTTAACAAATACATAATTGTAGATGAGTAAATGAGACAACATATGCTAAAAGATGAAATTATTGTATATACTAAACAATATTACCAAATAATTATGAAGAAATGGTATCTTCGGGTTTAAGTTGGCCAAAATCCTTGAATTTATAGATGTTGTTTGGAAAACTGTTATCTGCATGATCAATCACTTGTGTGCCCCGCCCCGCATGGAGCTGAGCATGTATTTGTGTTGAGTGGTTTTGAATGGCATAGAATTGTTGGAGACAATGAAAATTTTTATTGCATATAAAGAGCCCTCATTAAGTATACATTTGAATTTTTTAATATGTTCTTGTTTGAATGTCAAGTGAATACGGGTACCCTGATATATTAATTGAATACAAATTATAAATGAATAATATAAAATTAAAAAAAAACAAACAAATAAACCATATTTTAAAAGATTACAATTTTTTTTTCTTACAAGCAATATAAACAAAAAACATTTTGAAATTTAAATAAACAAATTATATCATTATAACAAATAAAAATGTGCATAGGAAGTGAATTTTTTTTTGAAAATTATATGGTGCTTTATTAGAAATAAGTCGAAATAATGTCAGGCGGGTAAACATCCTAATACATAGCAGCAGGCTGCTGGTACGTCGAAGTAGCTAGTGCATGAGCTAAATAATTGTCTAATCTAGTAATATAATTAACTGAACAAGACTGAAATAAAGACAGAGCTGCTCTGCAGCTGTCAATGGCATAGCCGACGTAAGAGCGAAACGCAACAGGTGGCGTAGTAAGATATCATTGTAGTGTCAAACAATCTATATATATGTCGATGTGCTGTTCCCCCCGATCCTTTAACCATGATAAGACTTCCTTGCAAGCCAGCGCCTCGGCCATTAGTGGTGAGGAGCAATCCGGGAGAGGCACAGTAAGAGCCGAGACGTATCCCCCATCCACGTCTAGGAGAATAGCCCCAACCGTGGCCTTGCCCGAGCCATGCACGTATCCCGCGTCGACTTGGCATATCCTTCGAGACGGTGCTGGCCGCGTAGCACGGAAGACTGGGTGTGATGCTGTAGATGGCGCCGTCTGGATTCGGGCAGCAGCGGGTTGCCGTGCTTGCAACCATGCTTGCATGGTAATCCTTGCTGCCGTGACCAAGGATGATGGGTGTGGTAGACATGCATTCCAAACCGCCCCGTTCTGTGTTCTCCAAATATTGTATAGAATTGATGCTGCATACACAATCCCATCAGAGTTTAAAACATTTAATAGCTCACCAAACCAAATATGAAAAATATTTGTCACAATATTTGGGATTGGAAGGTTGGATCGTTCCCAAATGTTCTTCGCAAATTCATACAACACTAAAGCATGCATAGTGTCCCCTCTTGAGATATTCCACACATGGCACATTGTGGATCCACATCCACCCTCTTTATAAGCAAGTTAGTAGTAGTTGGAAAAATATCACAAATGGCTCTCCACAGACACATCTTCCACTTTGGGGGGATTTTGAGTTTCCATAGGGTTAGCCATTTCGTAAAAGTCCCGGTACCACTTTCATAATTTCCAACTATCAACGTGTACCCGCACTTTACTGAATAAATTCCTCTCGGGTCGCCATGCCAATACCACATATCATCGTATTCCGGGGAGACAGGTATTTTTATAATATTTGGCACATCATTAGGTTGAAACAAATCAGTTAGAATTGAGTGATCCCATGAACCTGTCTGTTGATCTATAAATCCCACCACTCTGGCATCCTCCAACTGTATTGGCATCTCAGTTTGTATCATGGGGTCGTGATCATCCTGTAACCAGGGGTGAGCCCATATGAGTGTAGACTCCCCGTTTCCAATTCTGCGTCTTACCCCACTACAAATTATACTCTTAGCTGCCATAATACTCCGCCAACAGAAGCTGGGGTTATTTCCTATCTGTGCATCAAAAAATGAACCCTTAGCATAATAGCGAGCCTTATATACACGAGCCACTAGGGACTCAGGTTTAGTAAGCATCCGTCATGCCTGCTTCCCCAACATTGCTAGGTTAAAAACACGTAAATCCTTAAAACCCAAACCTCCATATTTCTTTGGGACACATAACTTATCCCAAGCCTTCCAATGTATTCGCCTATCAATTCCAGAGTCCCACCAGTAACGATTCATAGTCCTTTCAATTGCTGTGCACACAGATTCTGGTAGTAAAAAGACACTCATTGAGAAGGTAGGTATAACTTGTGCCACACTTTTCAACAAAATTTCCTTTCCTGCCTGCGATAATAATCTCTTGTTCCACGACCCAATCCTTTGGCGTATTTTATCCTCAATATATGAGAAAGCTGCTTTTTTGTTCCTTCTAACAAAAGAGGGAAGACCCAAATACTTGCCAAAATTAGGAGCCTGCCCTACTCCCAATACATGAGCCACAACTTCCTTATCCGTGTCATTCGTATTTCTGCTATAACAAACACTTGACTTGTGATAATTAACCACCTGCCCAGGTAAACTCTCATAAACTGATAGGCATCGTTTAATATCATTAGCCTCCTCCACATTAGCCTTAAAAAATAAAAGACAGTCATCAGCAAAAAAACAAATGAGAGATAGGCAGAGCACCTCTCGCAACTCTGCAACCATGAACCAAACCTGAGTTATGAGCCTGCTGCAATAGTAGGGAAAGTCCCTCTGCACAAATAATGAATAGATATGGGAACAATGGGTCTCCTTGCCTTAAACCTCACGAGGGTACAATGGTGTCACTCCGGGAGCCATTTATCAATATGTTATACGAGACAGTAGTTACACACTTCATTATCAACTCCACCCATCTTTCATCAAAGCCCAATGCCAACATCATGCTTCTAAGGAAAGGCCATTCCATCCGGTCATAGGCCTTTTCCATATCTAGTTTAAGAGCACTCCACCCCACCATACCACACTGCTTTCGATTTAAAAAATGTCCAACCTCCGCAGCTAACAAGATATTATCTGTGATTAGCCTATCAGGGATAAAGGCACTTGAGACTCTGATATAATCATCTCCATCAAAGGCTTCATTCTATTAGTAATTATTTTTGCCATAATCCTATAAATCACATTACTGAGAGCTATAGGACGCAGATCAGTGACTAACTCAGGGGAATTCTTTTTCGGGATCAAAACAACATCTGTACTATTCAAATCAGGAGGTAAATTTCGAGAATTTAGGCAGCCAACCACAAAACTTGATACATCACCCCCTACCACATCCCAGAAATGCTGATAGAAGCCCGGATTCATTCCATCCGCCCCCGGAGCCTTATCTGGAAACATTGCAAACAAAGCGGTTTTAACCTCCTCCAATTCAAAGGGCCTGAGCAATGTTTCATTCTGTGCCTGAGTTACCCATGGGGCAATACCTTCAAAGAAACCCTCTCCAGATCCCAGATTTTCAGAGCAGAAAATATGATTGAAGTATTCATAAATAATATTTCTCATAGGCTCCCCTTCCACCCAGTCCCCATTATCATTCATTAATCTAGATATAGTATTCTTCTTTTTACGATGAGAAGCATACCTGTGGAAAAACTTCGTATTGGCGTCGGCCTCCTTGAGCCAGTGCTGCTTAGCTCTCTGCCTCCAGTAAGCATCCTCCCGGGCTTCAGTGTGACTTAGAAGCTGTTCTAAGCGCTGAAACTCGGCCAGTGAGGCCGGATCAGTACATCCCCTTAATCGTTGCTGCTTCTTGTTTAGGACAATGATCTGTTTGCCATACTTGTGGTATCGGTCTCTACCCCATCGTGTTAACCGATCTCCACAGTATTCAATACAGCTCTGCAAACCCTGTCCCCGTCCTTCCTGCCATGACTGCTGAACCACCTCCCTACACCCCTCATCATACAACCATGCCATCTCAAATCAAAATCCCCTCTTACCAGGCCCATTCCTCCCTAAGGACTCATGAATTCCCAGAAAGAGAATCGAATGATCAGATTTCCGGGTTCTCAAATTTGACACCCTGGCCCTCTCGACTATGTTGCGCCATTCCTCAGTTACTAAGACCTTGTCAAGCCTCTCCTCAAGACAATTAACTGTCCCCTTCCCCTTTTCCCATGTATACGGGTATCCACCCATCGGCATTTGGGCAAGCCCACAATCCTCAATAGCATCCCCAAAATCGCGTAGGAGGCTATTCGGATGCGGATTCCCCCCTTTCTTCTCATACTGATATAACAAATCATTGAAATCCCCCACAACAATCCACGGAAGACTTGATTTGCCAGATAATGTTCTCAAGAGATCCCATGATTCCGTGCGCCTTGTACGTTCGGGAAACCCATAATAACATGTCATACGCCATCGTGGAAA